CGGGGGTGGGGTGCCCGGGAGAGGTGGGGCCTCTGGGAAGGATGGGGTGGCACCGGGCCATTAGGGAGCAGGGAAGTTTCGGAGGTGCGGCATTACCTGCCTCCTCGCCCCTCCCCCAGCGGGCCTGAGGTGCGCGTCCTGCTCTTCAACTCTACGGGTGACCGGGACCCCATGGCCCTGCTGAAGCTATTGCAGGTGAGAGGCAGCCCAGCCCTGTTCTGGCTGTGTGACCCTCCCACCCCTGGTGGGACCTTCATCCCTGAACCTCTGTTTCCTCAGTTGTAGAATGGGGCTAATTCCAGGATTTGGAGCCTGCTCAGTTGCTGGGTGACCTTAAGCTGTACCCCTGCCCCTAAGCCTCTGTTTCCCTATCTGTACAGTGGGCTTTGGTGCCCAGACCATAGGCCAGGCAGGGTATACTGAGGTAGATGGGGGACGGGGGCACTGAAGTGCTGTGGCTGGGTTTATGCAGCGTCACTCCAGCGGAGGTCATCTCCAGAGATGAGGATGTGTGTGGGCTCCCTGTGCTGTGTGGAAGATGGGCTGGGGTGGGGCATCCTCCCAGGGCTCTGACACCAAGCTTTACTCCTTGGCCTTCTAGCCCTGCCAGTTTGACTATGCTGTTTTCTGCCCTAACCTGACAGAGTTGTCGTCCGTGGGCAACCCAGGTGAGAGGTGACAGGCATGGTCCCTTGAGGTGGGCAGGGGTGTGGAGGGCCCTGAGGTGGACTGCTCTGTTGGTGACAGTGGGGGCTTCTGAACTGGAGGTCTGGGGGAGGAGCTAGATTTGTTTTATTATATAAATATCCTTTGGTACATTTTGAACTTTGCATGTGACTGCAATACTAAAGAGGAATTATTGGGGAAAACATTTTTCAAAATGTAGGTTAAAACCTACTGATGGTTCTTGAAATCAATTTAGTGGACCTCAACCAGCATTTTCTATTTTAAATGAAACAGAATAGAAAATATCTGTGTGTGCTTGCACGAAGTAAGGGTAGGTACTATTTTATGAAGATTTTGTTCCAGACATTTATATACACATATGTGAGTACTGGGTTGCCATTGTAAAATGTATTTTTTACTGTGGATTCCACTAAAAAAATTTGAAATAATATTATAAAAAATACAGCTCCCCAGGCCCCACATCAGATTGTCTGGGAAGAGTCCAGGAATCTGTATTTCTAGAAAAGCTTATGCACATCCAATGATGGACCCTGTCCATTTTACAGATGAAGGCAATGAGGCTAGGGTGGGGAGATGTGCTCAGTGGGCAAAAGCCCCAGCTTTGAAGCTAAACTGCCTGGCTTTGCTTGTCACGAGCTCTGAGGTACTGGGCAAGTCACTGAACTTCTCTGAGCCTGTTTCCTCATAGTGTCCACTAAGAGGACTGATGATGCATGTAAAAGGCCTGAATTAAGCAGGTATCCACAGCGTGCTTGGCCTTCCCCCATCTGCCTTGCTGATGTGCCTGTCCCTGTGTCCTGCAGATCAGCAGAACTTCACGGTGACACTGGACCAGGTGTTGCGCCGCTGCTTGGAACACCAGCAGCACTGGAGCCGCCTAGATGAGGAGCAGGCCAGCCCCGACCTCTGGAGCACCCCTAGCCCGGAGCCTGGTGGGCCCGCATCCCTGCTGCTAGCACCCTGCTCGCCCCGCACCCACAGCACCAGCTCCCTTGCCTTCAGCTGCATCTCCCACGCTTTACAGTGGATCAGCCAGGGTCGGGACACTGTCTTGCAGACACCCAGCACCCCACAGGACCTTCTCACCCACCCTGTGGCAGAGAGTGGAGCCAGCGTACTCCGTGAGGCTGCTGCCATCCACGTACTGGTCACTGGAAGCCTGCACCTGGTGGGTGGTGTCCTGAAGCTGCTGGAGCCCTCCCTGTCCCAGTAGCCAAGGCAGTAGGCTTGGAGGTGGGGCCTCCCACACCTGCCCTGCCGCTCTCCATGAACTCCTATATTAGGTGCCTTTTGTTTTCTGCTTTCCTGATTCTGTTTGGACTGGCCCAGGGGCCTGAGCTCTGGGCAGTGAAATAGGTGGCTGATGGGTGGGAGGCTAAGATGAGACATTCTGTCTCTGAGCCTGTGGTGCCCTTGGCCTCTCCTTCCTCCCTGCTGAGACAGCCTGGGGTTTCCCAGTTCTCCTATTGTGATGGTAGGCTGGCCATCCAGCCTGCTTGTGGTCAACAAACCACCCAGACTGTTTCCTGGCCACACCTAGGGTCCTGCCAGGTGCAGGCCGATAGATTTCCTCCTCTCAGTGGCCTCCTGGAAAAGGATAGGGTCCCTGCCTGGGACCCCCTGGGGACCGAGGGTGGCTGGATTAAAGTCTACCTTTAAAAAAAAAAAAGTTTGATTTAACTCTTGATCTCTAGTTCCCTCAGCAGACAATAGGGGGATGGGGGCTGTAGTGGTACAGGAAATGGATTGTGTAGGAGCCCAGGCTGTGTGGCCTGGGACAGGTCCCTTCCTCCTCCTGAGCCTCAGGTGGCCTGATGTTTGTTGACCACATGCAGGCACTGCTTTACAGACCTCCCTGCAGAGACCTTGTGATTGAGAATTCTCATACCCAGTTTACAGATGAGGGAACTATGGCTGGCTTAGAGAAGCCATGGGACCTGCCCACAGTCACACAGCCAATAAGTGGCAGGTCCAGAATTTGAATCCAGAGTTGTCTCCCCCCCTCCCTCATTTTAGGGCCCCTTCCCTTCTCCCAGCCTAGCACTGATTTCATGGTCTGATTTATTGGTGATGAGTATATAGGGGTGGGCCCAGGTCAGGCAGCCTGGCCACTCCTATCTGCTGCCTTCCTGATGGGCTAGGAGGGAGGGGGTTTCCATGTGACAGTTGCAGGAAAGAGCTAGGCCCCCCTGTTCCCAGGCTGGGCATCCTTTGGCTTCAGTCCCCCCACCCCCCAAAGTTATGCCAGTCCAAAGTTGTACTGCTGGGATAGGATCCTGGTGGTTCTAGGCTGGTCTTGGAGGAGGCACTTTTGGCCTGAGGAGACTGGGCAGAGTCTGTTTTGAGTTCTCACCTCCTGCCCATCCCAGGTCATCGGGTGCTAGATCCGGGTTAGAATAACAGGGGCTTGGGTTTCTATAGCAACGTGGACATACAGGGCAGTGTTCTGTCTCTCTGTGGTCCTGGGAAGCCGTACCCCAGGCCCACTGAGTTTGAAGGTTCTGCAGGGTGGGGTGGGGGGACCCCAAGGTGTTCCAATCTGGTGCCCCCGCTTGCAGCAGGCCTCTGAGAAAGAGGCAGAGGGCATGGTCCATCCTTGGCCGAGTGGAAGGGTTGGGGTCTCAGGGTGAGTTCATGACCAGTGGTTCCCAGCTGGTGGCTGCTCAGTCTCTCCTGCTGGGCAAGGGCTGGCTGGGTGGCCCCCAGGGCTCCAGGCTGGGCACTACGCCATGCTGCTGGTGGAGCAGGGGGTGCTCTGGGTGCTCCCGATGCTGTGGTTGGTGCTACTGCTCTCAGAGGAGGCCGGGGCAGCCACTGCCACCACGGGCTCCTGCTTGCTGGGGGGACCTGGGGGCAGGGGCGGAGGTCAGGGCCCCAGCCAGGGCTCCCCACCCCCAGAGGCTTTGCTGGGTTCCCCCAGGTGGTGGTAGAGGGGTCCTGAGTACTCATGATGGGGGCCTGGGATACTCACGTGTGTGCGAGTAGATATACCAGAGCGCGGCGGTGAGCAGGGCCCCGATGAGGAAGGCGCCAAAGGTGATGCCCAGCACAGCGGGCAGGACGAGGGTTTTGCCTGTGCAACCAAGGGACAGCTCAGTGCTGCTGCCTCGTCCCTGGCCCCCACCCTGGCTCCCAACTCTTGCGCTGGCCAGGAGCACAGGTTTTGGTGTGAGTCCTAGCTCACCTACTGCCCTGACTCCTCTGAACCTCGGAATCTCAGTCTCCCCATCTAGCAAATGGGTTCATCACACCCATGCCTGGCACTAAGCTGTGGTTGCTGTGACTGTCTACCAAGAGGGTCTAATCAGGCCTTTAGGGCCACACCTCTGCTTCCCAAGGCTGACGGAGATGCGATTTCAGGGGGCTGGGTGGTATAATATGAACAAAAAGTGAGTGGGGCCTGGGAGTCCAGAGCCTGTCCCTCCTCACTGTGTGACTTAGGTCAGTCCCTGCCCCTTCTGCGCCCTGTACCATGGTAGGGACTGACAGGGCTCTCTAGCCCTGCTCTTGGATTTTCCCAAGCCCCATTCCTTCCTCACTCCTAACTCCTGTGTGACAGCCGGGCAGCCTCCCCTTGGGCCTGAGTTCCTGTCCACACAGTGGAGCTATTAGCCCTCGTCTCCTGGTTATGAACTGGGAGTGGGGTTCCATCCTGGCCTGGGTTGGGTGGCAAAGGAGGGGTATTCCCCACCTCTGGCTCCAGTGTCAGGGACTCTGGTGCCTTGTGGGGCCAGGACCCAGAGGGATCTAGCAGAGGCTGGAGGGTGCTGGGCTGAAGGGGCATCCTCTACACTGGGGGCCTTAAGGTGAGGCCAGTACCATCCCAGGTGCCTTCCGTCCCATCCGGACCTGATTCTGGAGGCCCTGTCCCCCCAGTGAGGTCAACCAGCCACCATGGGGATCAAGAAGAGTCAAAGGCCCTCCTCCTAGGGGACACAGCTGGGAACCCTTGTTCTGCCCTCCTCCCAGGGCTGCTCTCTCTAGGGTTGTCCCTTCTGTGAGCCTAGGCCCCCATCCATTTGGAACCCCAGAGAGACCTGGAGAGAGCTCACCGGGCATGTCAGGGCTGACGATGTTCAGGCGCATAGAGACAGTCCTGTGGACAGCCTGTGGAAGAAAGAGAGCGACTCTGTAGCACAGCCTCTGACAGGAACCTTTTGGGTTCACTCCCTGGCTCTGGCCCCAGTCAAAGCCTACCCCAGGGCCTTGGCTTTGCATCCCTCCCACCACTTTCTAGCTAGGAGTCCTTGAGCAAGTCCTGAGACATCTGGACTATGGAAGGGTGTTGGGGGGACAATCCTTGGCTGCTACTGGGATGTTTCCTGTGAGTTCCTGGAGGCCCCCGACTCCCATGGGGACTGCAGGAGCACTCGCACTGCATCCGTGACACTTGTGAGTGAGTGGAAAGATTAGCCAGCTTGGCCCAGAGGCTCAGGCTCACTGTGGCTACAGGGAGACCCCCCCCCCCCC